CCGAGACGAAAGCAGAGAGTGCCGCTTAGCGCTGCCGGGCTGAAACACAGGGCCCCGCCGGACGCTCGCCGGCCGGCACGCCGGCCAGCTCGGTGCACTGATGGGAGCCAGAGCCCCTCCTAAGCACGGGAGGAGACCGTGGCCAGAGCAAGCCCCTTCTCCCCTCATAGCCTTGCACCCCATGAGGGCAAAGAGGAGCCGACAGTCCCGTCTTAAGCATTTTACATAGAGAAAAGCACAGATGCAGGCAGGATGCTGTTGTAAGAGGAGATGCTGAGAGATGGGGCTGCTCACCCTCAGGGGAGAGGGCTCGGTGGGATCTGAGCAATGTCTGTAAATGCCTGATGGAGGGTGCAGAGAAAAGGGAGCCAGACTCTTCTCAGTGGTGTCCAGCGGCAGGACAGAAGGCACAAGCTGAAATACGGGAAATTCCATTTAAACATAGGAAAAAACTTTTACTGTCAGAATAGTGAAGTACTGGAACAGGTTGCCCAAAGAAGCTGTGGCTTCTCCATCCCTGGAGTCATTCAAACCCAAGTGGTCACGGTCCTGAGCAACCTGCTGTAGGTGACCCTGCTTGAGCACAGGGGCCGGACCAGGCGATCTCCAGAGCTCAGCACCTCTGTGATTCTGTGACAGTTGTGACATTTGCTTCAAATGGGAAAAGCTCCAACAATGACACTGCCAGGTCTGAAAGTGGGTGACTTACACCTGAACGGTACTTTCCACCTAATGAAATGTATTGCCTTTCCTACAGACCCAACGCCAATGAGCAGTGGTGGTGCAGCTAATTAGACAATTTGTGTGTGAAGTGGCATCTTTTGAGTCAGTTTTCTTCACTCTGAGAGGTTTTTCCACCTGGGAAACCCATTGCCAGCAGGTGGCAAGCATGCTAAAGCACTGTGATGCCCGCCGGTGCAGGCTGGCTCTGCTCCCTGACCTTGCCTGGGCTGCTCTGAGGGGTCACACAACACCTTCACAACCATGAAGGTCGGTCAGGACCACAGCACCCAGCTGTCCTTCCAGAATCAGCTGCATGTATGGTCCCCAGTCCTCCATCTGCCAGGTCTTCCCTCTCTTCTCCAAACTTTGAGTCATCTGATACCTCTTGAGAACCATCAGCACCTTCTAAGTGGAGCTGATCTCTTCTCCAGATGCCTCCCTGTTCCTCCTCTTACTGGGGCTTGCTAAGCTTCATCCCACACACCTGCAAGTGCCAACACACACACACACACATGCACTATCAGGACCAGGTTTTGAAATATCCTTGTGTTTTCTGATAGTTGCAAGGTGCAGCTAATGAGAAATAGGGATAAACCATCAAACTTGGCTCTGGGAACCTCATGAGCGCTAAGTCTGGGGGTTTAAGACATGGGATTAAAGACCCACTACTGTGGTCTCTGTTTCTCACGAGGCTGGCTGAGACTGATGATTTAGCTCTTGATCTTTACAGCAAGTTAATGTTATGGTCGGTATAAAAAATAAAATCCCTGGAGAAGTTTCACCTGGAAGAATGTGTCCCCCCTCATTGTTCTTCCAAAGTTAACACTTTTAATGTGGAGAAGGCAACACAAGTGATCTTGTATTCACAAATTTCTTTCAGTTTTCTGGAAGGGAAAAATCAAATTGCCATCACAATGTATTGAAGGTTATTAATTCTGGTGCTGGGGCTCAGAGAGCACTGATAGAACTGAATTGCTCTGAGTGGCCTCACCTGGGGTCTCCACCCACACCCTCACCCATTGCTCCAGGAGCCTATTTAAGCTGAGCACTGCAGCTTCTATCCCTGATTTGTTGGAGGAATACTTGTTTCCAGCCCTGCCTCCTGGATGGACCCTGGGCTCATGTTGCAGCCTTGTCTCCAGCCCTGTTTTCTGGATAGACCTTAGATGACTGCTGTAGGTAGCTTGTCTCCTGGATGGGCTCTGGTATGTACACTATAGCTGGTCTCTAGTCTTGTCATTGACCCCATCTTCTTTGGTTTTTCCCTGTCCTGTACTCTCCTGGTGAAGTCTGGAGAGGTAACAGCTCGGCTTGGTGCCTGTGGATCTGGGGAAGGCTGGAGAGAAAAAATTTATCTGGAACAGCCTTCCTTAAACCACTGATAAAGATACACCCTACAGGGGTTAAAGGGTGGGAGGAGAAGTTTGCTTTTACACAGATTTACCACAGCCCTGCAAGACAGCTTACTACTGCGCTCAGCTGGGCATCAGCCTCAGGGCAAGGGCTGGGAGCAGCTTGGTTTTTGTAGAGGTCATCAGGGGAGTTGGTCTCTGGCATTGCTTTGGCCAAGAAAAGTTCACTCACATTTAACAAGGTGCCTTGGTGGCTTTTATAGAGCCAAAATAAGGGAGCTGTGGCAGGGGGGGGATCCCGGCTGGTGGTGGGTCAACCACTAAGGGTTAAACGTGGCACCGAGCCTGGCCCACCTCCACAGGTGTGTGGTGGGGCTGGACCTCTCATGCCCGTGGAAGCTGGAAGATGTGGTGCCCTCATCCCGCTGCCCATCGGTGAGGGAGAAGTTCCCATGCTGGGAGGAGAACAGGGCTTCAACATGCTTTTGGTAGTTCTTGAAGCTTTCAGTATGGTGTTTCTGATCTCCAGGTTCTTCCTCTCATGTCCTGGTTCTGTTGACGTACTTCAGCTATTTACCTGTTAAAGAAGGAACTTTATCTGCAGTGCTTGCTAGAGTTTTTCTTGTGGCTTGCAAAATGTCTTAATTTTGTTACAAACTTACAGTATTTTATTTTACAGTAGGTAAAATGCAAGTTATATAGCAAATGCATGGGACAAGGAGCATAAGTTTTCTCTGGTGAAAGAAGGACCAGTCTTTTTTTTTTTGAGATTTATTTATTAATCACTCTTAAATAAATATATATTTGACACTTAACAGGAACAATTAGTTAAAAATAATTTCTAATACAAATTCCCACAATTGCCATAGTATTTGTACGGTGTGTTGCTTAATGCAATTTTTGAGACCCAAATCTTGCTTTTGGTTTAAATTTAACTTGTGTTAACAGTTCAGGAAAGAGGGAATTTGCAGTGGGGTTGTAAAATAAACATCCCTCAAAATAAGAAACAAAGCCACAATACACACGTACACATACATGGACGTGAAAATGGTTTGTTTTTCTCTTCCAGATAGTCATCTTGCATTCTCTGTCCATTTTGTTGATATTTCATTGAAAGTGCTCGTTAGCTCTGCTCCATGAAACAACCCTCCAAATAACATAGCTATTGGGAACCGAGCATTGCATTTAACTGAAAACTGGTCTCCAGCTTGTCTGTGCTGTACAGTAGATGGCAATAAAGGACCACTATGTAGTAGAATTACACCTCTGAAAAGGAATTTTTCTGTCCTTAATGCTTTGGAAAGTGTAATTAAAAATAAGAATATAGAAGTGCAATGTTGAGAAGTTGGGAGGTGCAGAGAGGGGAAAATACAAGAGTTGCAAGGAAACAAGACAAAGCACGTGAATGATAATGACACACAGATATTTACTTTACATGTAAATGAAAGAAAGAACATTGTGCATTCGTTAGCCACCCCTTCAGTCTGCAGAGTTGCCCCTGCAAAGCCATGGGAGGGAAGGGATCTGAGACCCACTGTTCAAGAAGTTCTGCATTCCAGCATCTTCCGGAAACTTTTCCGAAAACTGTCATCCAGGAAAGCATACAAGAAAGGATTCAAGCATGAATTGGCATAGCTTAGGCTGGTGATGAAGTAGGATATACCAATGACCATGGAGGTCTGGGGCAAGTCAGTGGTCAAAGCCACAATGGTGGCCAAGTGGAAGGGGGTCCAACAGAAGAGACACACAGCCAGGACTATGAAGACCATAATAGTGACTTTCTTCTTGGCTTTGTCCAGGGCTTTAGCATTAGAGTTCAAGTGCATGTTCCGTAGCTTGTAGAGCATCATGGTGTAGAGGATGCAGATGGTGGATACTGGAATGGCAAAGCCAAGGATGAGGGTATAGATCCTGCTGGCTTTGAACCAAAATCTTTCAGGCTTGGGGAAATTGAGACCACAACTCTTGATCTCCAGGTCATCTATGTAGACATTGGCAAAGATGATGAAGGGGAGAACTATGATGGTGACCAGGATCCAGATGCACAGACTGACAATCCTGGCCGCTCGGTATGTGCGATGTGGCATCCTCTTGGACCTGACTGTAGCCAGTACTACCAGATACCTGTCTATACTCATCACTGTTAGGAAATAAATGCTGGAGAAGATATTGTAGTGATCTATGGACAAGATGGCCTTGCAGAGGACTTCTCCAAAGGGCCAGTAGTGGAGGAGGTGTTCAGCAATATTAATGGGCAAGACAAGCGTGAACAAGTCATCAGCTATAGCAAGGTTCAGGATGAACATGTTTGTCACAGTCTTCATCTTGGGGGCCTTGAGGATCACGTAGATGACAGCAGTGTTGCCTGTGAGCCCAACAGCACAGATCACAGAGTAAATCACAGGGAGGACAACGTAGAAATCAGCTGCCTGCTCTTGGAAGGTTAAATTGAACCGCATGTTGTTGTCCAGGTAGCAGCTGTTGCCTGCATTGCTGCAGGTGCTGTTCAGATTATCCCAAAGAGAGTTGTTTCCCATGCCTGCTGGTCACAGACTACCCCCAGATGTTGTTGAAAGCCTTGCTAACCCAGAACGGAGAGCTTTTTTTCTGTGAGAAGTAGCTGCTATCTCATTTAGAAGTGGGCTATTTCCAAAGAGTGGTCCATGAGGCAGCATGGACCATCTAACTTAGCTCTCCTGTCTCCCACCATCGGAGAAATTAGATTTTGAAGTAACTGGGGGGAAGGATTGAAAGACATGTAAGGCTCCACGAACAAAACAAACAGGAGAATTATAACTCCCTAGGTAAGTCAAGGAACTCTTCTCTCAGAGCATCCTGGTGAGCTTTGGCTTTTCTCTGCTGGCGAAGCCAATTGGCTCCAGTTCAACTGTCGGCAGCAAGACCCTTTCTTAGGGCTGGCAGGAACAAGGAGGGCAGAGAGGAAGCTTTGTGCCTGGTCGGCTATTCACAGCTCTCGGAGGACTTGAGGGATGGCTGCTGCTTCACTTGCACAGCGCTTGCTTTTCCACACTGGAGCAGCAGCATTGCAGTATTTAACTACTGCCTGCCTTTGTGTCGGAGCGCAGACTCTCTTCATTGACTGAGATTTCACAAGCAATGAAGAAGTTTCCGACACTGCTACTCCCCGCTCCCAGGGTGCCCTAGCAAAAGAAGGGAGGGGGGGGAAAAATAGAGTTCAAGGAGTATTTAAAAAAACTAAGGGTTAACCAACAATTAAAGTAACCCTTTAATCAAGGGCAGGTTATGATCTTTTTCGATATGAAGACATTGCAAACAACTGTGGCAGCACACAGAACTTGGCACAGATGGACAGACAAACCTGTAAATCTCAGAAGTTCAGTATTATTCAGGGAGGGGGGTAGGGGTGAGGAGAAACATACCCTGAAAGCAAATCCACTTTAGAGTCAAAGCAAGAATTGCCACATCCATCGCTATCGCCTGACCCGTACATCCAAGAATTCCTCCGCAGGGAAGCGAACAAACCACCGACCCCCCGCCATGAAGATCAAAGGTTTGGCAGCTGGTCCCCAGGCTCCGCGAAGTGCCTCGCTTTACCGCGGTGTGACAACAACATGCGAGGGAAGGGAGCAGGGAAGCTGGGCTTGGGAAGGGAGGGTTGAAGTGCTCCTTACCCGGTGAGCGGCTCCGGCACCTGCGGCTCGGCACTGTTGAGCCTCTTCTCTCACCCGAGTTGGAGGAGGGTCTCTGGGATGCTGACGTTACCCAGCTTCGCAATCATAGCGGCAGGGTGGCTCTGTGGGCGCGTTGCCCGTCTGAGCAAGGGGGAAAAGTTTTCTCTCTGCAGGGCTGTTGAAATAGTAAATAAGGCAGAAGCTGGGGAGCAGCTGATGCTCGGGGGCCGCTCTCCTGAGGAGCGAGGGGGATGCTGAGGGGTGCAGGCAGCACCCAGGGCTGGCAAGCTGCGGCTGGCTGGAGGAGGGATGCGTGAACCCGTGGGAAGCAGGGGGGTTAAACTGCTTCAGTAGGGAACACCCGCTGGTTTTAACAAAGGAAGATGCACAAACGTGTGTGGAGCGGGGAGGCAGTGGGAGGAGGGTAAACGACGTTACAGTGCTCAAAATGAACAAATAAATAGACGTACTTTGCCAGCTCTGAGTGGGTTTCAGCTGCTCTGGGGGAGCTCAGCTGGTTTTCCCCAGCTGGGTCTCTGGTCCAGCTTTGGAAATGCAGCAAGATCCTTCAGATGTGCATCACAAGATGCAGGAGTCCTGTGAAGCTTGACAGAAATGCACCCCAGGTTACATAGCAAAACCAGCAACAATGTAAGATCACTTCACCTTCACGTCCCTATAAAAAGAGGAAAAGGGAAATCGAGGGTCTTTTGATTTTCCTTTGGTCTTTTAAATGTATCACCCACCTACAGGGTGCCTGACCTTTGTTTCAGTACTGGGTGAGAGAAAACGCGGGCGTCTAGCAGTGCGCTGGTAACAAATCACGGCATTGCACTCTGGGAGGTGACTCCTTAAGGCCACGGGTATAACTGACTTTTCAGCAAATGATTTTTTTTTTTATGCCCAGTGTACAGCTCTTACAGATATTTTCTGTATCTCAGCCAAAATCTGACCAGCTGTTAGGACTAAGCAAAATTAAACAGAAATTAAAGATTGCTCAAGAAGATCCATAGGAATGATATGGATGATATTTTTTTCAGATGAAAGACACCCCCCAGAGCCACCCTCTTGCCTGTTTTGGGAAAGCTGGCACAGTTCGTAAGTAGTTGTAGGGGAAACAAGATTTTGATAGGTCTGCAGGGGGAAGGCAGTTTTCCAGGAATTGCGGTTGTCTTTGTCAAAGTGAAGATGATACTGGAAGATGGTGAATTTCAGGAGAATGTGATGTTAAATTTACTGATCTGTGACTATTCCCTAGGGCAACAGGGTGTGAAAGTATTTTTGCATTGGAAATGCTTCTGTTGTGGCTTTGTTTTCAGTGTAACGCACATCCCTGGGGTCTCGGAGAGCTTAATCTGTCCCGTCACTTCCCAAACTATATTCTCTTGGATTTGGCTGTCGCGCTGCCTTGGCCAGTGGCTGCGTGCCCAGGTGCTGCGTGTTTTGGGACATACCCGTGAGGGGAGGGGAGTCTGGGGGCTGGGGGGGGCTGCGGGGGGGGCCGGGCTCCCGCGAACGCG